ATCTTATTAAAGATCCCTTATATATGATGATGCTTCTCTTGCTACATTCAAGATTCTTTCTCTTTTGAAAGTTTGATTATAACGTGTCTTGATGTTAGTCTTTTTGAGTTCATCTTACTTAGAGTTCATTGAGCTTCTTGGATATTTATATCCATGTATTTCATTAAATGTGAGAAGTTTTCAGCCACTATTTCTTTAAATATTCTCTCTTTTTCTTCTAAGACTCCCATAATGCATATGTTGGTCTGCTTGATGGTACCTCAAGCTCTGTTTGGTTTTTTTTTTTTTTAATCTTTTCTTTCTATTCCTCAGACTCAATAATTTCCATTGTCTTCAGGTTTGCTGTTTCTTTCTTATGCCTAGGCATATCTACCTTTGAATGTGACTAGTGAATTTTTCATTTCATTTTTTGTACTTTTCAGAATTTGTTTTTTTTTTTGGGGGGGGGAGATTTCTCTTTATTAATCTTTTCATTTTGTTCATGCATAGTGTTTTGACTTTCTCCACATTTTCCTTTAGTTCTTTGAGCATCTTTAAGACAGCTTTTTTAAAGTCTCTTTCTAGTACATCTTCCATTAAGTCTTTTTCCGGGCCAGTTTCTATTGTTGTTGTTGTTTTCCTTTGGATGAACCACACTTTCCTGTTTCTTTGTATGCCTTGTGATTTTTGTTGAATAATAACTATTTGTATCTAATAATGTGATAACAATTGGAATCAGGTTTTCCCCCTCTCCCAGGGTTTGCTGTTTTTGATTATTGTTCTTATTTTATTGATTGTCATAGGCTGTCTCTGTGCTGAGGATCAGCCTGAGGTATAAACTTAGGTCTTCTTATGGTTTTTCTGAGTCTTTCCTTGGGCATGTGCAGCCACTTTCTAATTTTCCCCATATATGCAGTTTTTTCTGAATGTGCTAATTTTAATGTCTAGTTCCTGAAAGGGGGAAAGTAAAAAATGAAGGCAGGAAAGGGCATCAGCCCTTTAAATTTCTTGAAAGTCATTCCATCTGCTGGGGGACAGACTTGTAACAGTGGGCGGATGTACAGCAACGGCTGCCTGACTCTCTGCACCTCTGTGATCAGAATCAGCAGTCAGCACAGATCCCCAATATTTGCAGAACAGGGTGCTCTTCGCTCACCCTGGCTCCCGCAAGTTGTGTGCAGGCTGCTCCAGGAACATGTATACAGCTGCCTGGCATGGGGATGAGGTGAGAGATGGCTAGATGCTACTTTGCTAAGAGCTGAAAATGACCAAAATCAACTGCACTTTACCATCCAAGTCTTACCCTGGAAGTTGCAAGCCTTCTTCAGATTCCTAGAGTTCCAAAATAGTTACCTCAAAGACAGATTCTGCCCAAGCAGTTGTCCAGATGGGGAGACAGATTCCTGTGCTTCCTGCTCTGCCAGCTTCCCCTCAGGTTGTTCGTTTTCTTACTGTTGAGTTTTAAGAGTTCTTTTTTGGATATCTGATTTGCCATTATTTTCTCCCAGTCTGTGGCTTGTCTTTTCATTCTCCTGTATTTCATAAAGCAAAAGTTTGTAATTTTGTTGAAGTGTAACTTATCCTTTTTTTTTCTTTTGTGGATTATGCTTTTGCTGTTATTGTCTAAAAACTCCTTTATTAACTCCAGGTCACAAAAGTTTTCTCCTAAGTTTTCTTCTTAGAGTTTTATAGTTTTACTGCTAACATTCCTATATATGATGCATTTTGAGTGAATTTTTGCATAGTATGTGAGGTTTAGGTGGAGATTACTGTTTTTGCATTGTGGATATCCAGTTATTCAAATACTGTTTGTTGAAAAGACTGTCTTCATTGAGTTGCATTTACAGCTCTGTCAAATCAATTGTACATATTTGAGCAGCTCTTTATAGGTTATATGTTCTCTTCCATTGATCTATGTGCCTGTTCCCCTGCTAATACCACAGTCTTAATTGCTGTAACTTTATATTAAGTTTCTACATTGTAGTGTTATTAAACCAACTTTACTCTTCTTAATCAAAGTTGTTTGGGCTATTCTAGTTCTTTTCCCTGCCCATACCAATTTTAGAAATAGTTTGTATCTATTAAAAAAAAACAACAACTTTTGGAATCTTGATCAAAATTTCATGAAATATATAAATTTGAGGAAAAGTACATCTCTCCATTTATTTAGGTCTGCTTTGCACGCACGTGCACGTGTGTGTGTGTGTGTGGTTTTCAGCGTATAGATCCAATACATGTTCTGTTAGATTTATACCTAAGTCTTTCCTGTTTTCTTTTCTCCTATTCTTCCTCTTTTTAAACTATTGTAGGTATAGAGTTTTTTGTTTCTAGTTGTTTGTTGCTAATGTACAGAAATACAATGATTTTAGTGTTTTGGCTTCATATCCTTTAGTAACCTTACTAAATTCTCTTTTTAGTTTTAGGAACTTTTTATAGATTTATTGAGATTTTTCTACATATACTAGGGGTCCCCAACCCTCACACCATGGACTGGTCTGTGGTCTATTAGGAACCGGGCCATATAGCAGGAGGTAAGTGGCGGGCAAGCAGGTGAAGCTTCATCTGTATTTGCAGCCGTTCCCCAGAGCCAGCGTCACCGCCTCAGTTCCACCTCAGGTCATCGGGCATTAGGTTCTCATAGGAGCACCAGTCCCTGGTGCCAAAAAGGTTGAGGACCAATGATATGCAATCATGTTTTCTGCAAATAGGAACAGTTTTATTTCTTCCTTTCCAATCCGTATGCCTTTTATTTCTTTTTCTTGCCTTATTGCCCAGACTAGCATTTCCAGTATGATGTCAAATAGAAGTGTGGTTATTCTTGTCTGGATTCCGATTTATGGAGAAAATATTTGGTCTTTCACTATTAAGCATGACATTAGCTATAGGCTTTTTGTAGATTCCATTCTATTTATGATATGCTGAGAGTTTTTATCATGAATTGAATTGAATGTTTTTCAGTGCCTTTTTCTGCATCAATTGATTTTTCTTCATTAGGCTGCTAATATGGGATTGTGGTTGATTTTCTAATATTGAATTAGTCTTGCATTCCCAGGACAAACTCCGCTTAGATATAGTATATCATTTGTTTTATATAGTGCTGGATTTGATTTGCTAACTTTTTGTTGAGGATTTTTACATCTATGTTCATGAAGGATTTTGGTCTGTGTTTCTTTTCCTTGTTATTTTTCGACTGGTTTGGGTATAAGGGTAGTGCTGGCGTCATCAAATAATTTTCTGGAAGCAATTGTATGTAACTGGAGTTATGTGTTTTTTTAGTGTTTGATAGAATTTACCAATGAAACCATCTAGGTCTAGACGAGGTTTTTTGGGGAAGAATTTATGAATTCAACTTCTTTAATAGTTATTGGACTATTTGGGTCATCTATTGCATCTTGGGTGAGTTTTGTACGTAGTGATTTTTGAGGAACTGGTCTATTTAAGTTGCTGAATTTATGTACATATAGTTTTTCATAGAATTCCCTTGTTAAAACTTTTACTATCTGCAGAGTCTAAAATGACATCTTTCTTATTCCTTATACTGATCATTTGTGTCTCCTATTTCTTTTTTCTTTGTTATTCTTGCTAGAAGTTTATCTGTTTTATTGATCTTTCTTCAAAGAACTAGCTTTTGGATTCATTGAATTTCCTCTTGCTTTTCTGTTTTTAATCTTTACTGGTTTCTGTTCTTACCTTCATTTTTTTATTCTGCTTGCTTTTTTCTCTTTTTCAGTTTCTTAAGGCGAAATGTTAGGTTATCAATTTGAGACTCTTTCTCTTTTCTAATACATGCATTTAATGATATAAATTTCCTTCTAAGCATTGCTTTAGCTATAAACTCCCAATGTTGATATGTTGCATTTTCATTTTCATTCAGTTGAAAGTAGTTTCGAGTTTTCTTATTTTCCTTATGACTTCCTCCTTGACTCATGGATCGTTTATAAGTGTGGTGTTTATTTTCCAAGTGTGTGGAGATTTTTCTGTTATTTATTTCTAGCTTAATTCCACTATAGTCATAAAACATGCTTGATATGATTTCAGCTTTTTAAAATGTGTTAAGGTGTGTTTTATGGCCCGGAATGTGTGGTCGTGCTTGGTGAAAGTTCTGCTGGTTTGGGTTGGAGTATAAATGTCAGTTAGGTGCCATAGCTAATGGTGTTGCTCAGGTCTTCCACATTCTTGCTGGTTTTCTGACTTCTAGCTCTATTACTAAGTGAGGAGTATTGAATTCTCCAACTAAGCCAGCGGTGGCTTGCCAGAGGAATGCACCTTTGACCCCACAGGGACTTCCTGACTGGTGAGTTGTTGCCTCCTCTGCATATGCTTTTCATGGCACCGCAGAAGTGCCTGCTCAGTTGCTTATAAAACCAAGTCTTCCTCCTGCCCTTCATTGTGGTCACACTGGAGAAACACTGAGATTCCCTGCCTCCCATGACCACGGGAATTCTGGTGCTGCTTTCTCCCGGCACCTAAGTCTTCCTCCTGGAGCCCCCTTCTCTCAGTTGGCTCCTCTGCCAGCTTCATTCTCACCAAGCAAAGTAACCTCCTTCAGAGGGCTCTACGGCCAGAGCTGCCAACTCGGACTCTTCCGTAGCCACAGGCAGACAGCTAGCCGCCTGCTTCTCCTGGGTTCCGTGGTTTGTCCAAGAAATGCCCTGGAGATGGGATTTCATGGGGAACATGGCTTTTAGAAGTGGACAGACAGCTTAATCCAGCCAGGCCTGAGCACTGAGACCTGGCCACTTACTCACATCTTCAAATCTATAGGATGGGGCTGTTTGTTATAGGATGAAGAGATGATCCACAGCCCCACCCGGGGCAAGGCAAGCTCAGGGAGCAGCTCGGTGCCGTCATAATTGAGTTCCTGCACTGAAAGCTTTGTTTCTCAGTCATTTCCAGCTAAGTGTTTAATTTCAGAAGAATGCATAGTCCTCATGTCATGGCTATGGGCACAGGGAAGGCAGGTGGAGACCCCATCCTGAGAGGTGTTGCTCTGACGTGCATGCTTTTCTCCCACACCTCAGGTAACCCCAGGGTTCAAGGAGAAGGAAGGGGAGCTCTTGGTCAGGGGACCCTCTGTGTTCCGGGAATACTGGGACAAACCAGAAGAAACAAAGAAAGCGTTCACCTCAGACGGCTGGTTTAAAACAGGTAGGGGGGCCTGGAGGGGGAGGGGGCTGGAGGATGGGGGACCCAAAGGGAATGGGGAGTGTGACTAGACCACCTTGAGTTGTCACCATGCCTGGACATCCCTGGAATCTTCTGTGAAGGGCAGGTGGGTAGACTTTGTGTCTCAGTCTTCACACCTGTGCCCCCACCCAGCATACCAGCCCCCTGCCAGCCTCTAGAAGGAAGCTCCTGAGGCCACAACCCTCAGGAGGGCCAGCAGCGCCGCCCCCCACTCGCCCCAGGCCTTGCAGCAAGTCTCCCACCCTGTCCCCTGGCTCAGCAGCCTCTGCCTGGGTCAGGACTCCCTCCTTCCCAGTCACAACTGTATTCTACATCAGAGACCCTCCTCACCCCCTCCCACATACCCTGCTTTGTAAATATTCCCCTCCCCCATTCTGCATCAAAGTCATTTTGATAGAATGTGGTTTGTTTGTGGTTTGGGTCATTCATTTCCATTATTCTCTGTGCTAAAGTCTGCACTCTTTGTGTCACCTGCCTGAGTGGGCAATTGTAAACCTGTGATCAAAGCCCAGGGCCCAGCGCCTGGGCGGAAAGAGGCTGCACTGCTGGAATGTGCTGGTGGGGCCCCCCACACCGGCATCCTCTCACCTGGGACACACACCCAGAGCCTGCTCTGAGGAGCCTCCTGCCCCCTTGTCCCCCATCCTCCCCACTTCCTGGGGCCCAGCGGTCCTGTCGAAGTGAACAACACGGCAAATAGTGAGAATGCTTAGGTTTGCAGCTGCACTGACTCACTGACGTGCGTGCTTATCTAGAACATGCACCAGAACAGCAGTTCCTGATATCTAAGTGGTGGGATTCTGGGTGCTGTCTCCTTTTCTTTTTGCCTATCTCTATTTCTAAAACTTTTGTGCTGAATGAGCATTATTTTATAATAATCTTAAGGCAATATTTTCTAAAAAGAAAGGCCTATTTTCACATGTTATCATATGTGGGTGCCATAATCAGAAATGCGCCATAATGCCTGCTCTTCTGTGGGGAGCAGGGCTCAGGAGAAAGGAGGGCACCTGCGGATGGGACAGAACACTGCGGGGTGCCATGCGCATATGCGCATCTAGTGGGGAGAGAGGGCGTGTTAGATGGCTGTGGCCCTGGCCCTTAGCCTGGTGACCCCGTGGCTGACTCTCACACATGTGTTATCTCACCAGGCTCAGGTGCACATGGACCTGCAGGGGGCAGATTTCATGTTCACTCTCTAATCTGCTACCATCATGGGACTGAGGTGAGGGGCCCATTGAGGGTGAAGGGGCAGATGAAGAGTCCTCCTGAGGGATGTCAAGTGGTCCTCTATCTGCCCCCATGCAGATGGCACTTGGGGCTGGACTTGCTGATCCCGGCCAGTCCCATATCCACCCTGTAGTCCCATAGCCATCCATGGCTTTGTCACATGCCCTCTGAAGTATATTTCCCAGCAGCTGTGATTGAAACTGTCCTGTCCCCCTGGTCCCTCCACACTGGGCAGAGAGAGCCGGTGTGTGGAGAGTTCCAACGAGTTTGCAGAGTGGACATTTGCCAACCTCCAAAACAGGCCAGTGCCCCAGGAACCCTGGCAGCCGAATCTGGGGAGTGGGTCAGCAGAGGGCCTAGTGGTTGGGGACCCAGGAGCCCAGATCACCTATTTTGGACCCTCCTGTTTCTACCAGTCACAAGATGTGGTCAGCGTATTAATATACACACACCCCTTACCCTCTGTAAACATCCCCATTAACAGGTCAGTTTGGTGGAAACAAACCTCTATTATTGTCCATCAGATGCAAAATTTAGGAACTATTACTTTTGAGCTAATCATGTTTTTTGGGCGTCCCTCCTGCAGCCCTTCGAACAGTCCCCTGTTTGGAAACCTTGACTCGCTTTGTAGCCATCTTCTTTTATTTTAAAATTCAGATAAAAAGCTGCAGATTTTTTTTTAAAGCACAGGAACCAAAACCCTGTGGATTTTGCTGATAGCAGGGCTCACTGAGCACTGGGGCGGCAGCAATGCAAAATGTGGGGCAGTCAGCGTTAAAACATTTCAGTCACCACTCCTGATGAATATTTCAGTTGAAAGGGAATAGTATGCATTAATTATTGTAAAGAGATGTCTTTAGGAGAAAATGATTTTGAAATTCAGTTTAATTTCATTGTAATGCGCTGCAAACAGGAAGGGAGTATGTGTGTTTAATTGGCTCTCGGGGGTAAGGCCTGGAAGCCGCATGCCTTTGTCACAGGCCATTAGCGATACAGACTGCATAATGAGAGCGCGCAATCAGCTCACAGCTGCCGGCTCCTACGGGGAGAGCATGATATTAAATAGAAATCAGGATAAATTAAACTTAACCCTTTCACTGGCCAGCCCCTCCTGCCACACGAATTCTGGCAGGAGCTAGAGGAGGGCTGTGTCCGGCCAGCTCCTCCTCAGTGGCCTCCTTTGTGTCTAGATGACAGGAGATAGGCTGGCTGCTTCAATTCCATCCACTCCAGCCCTCCCTGCCCTGTGAGTGCCTGCCTCCTTCCCTGCAGCCCAGTTCTGCCAGGAAGAACATACAGGAAGCTCCTTGCAAGCCCCCAGGGCTTGGGGCTGCCTCTCATGGAGGGAATCAGAGGTCTCTCCCCAGAAACTCCCCTGACAGCCACAGTGATTTCTCCTGACTCTTTGCATTCCACCTGAGCACCGCCACACCCTATAAGAACCTGGTCAACACACACACGGGATTCAGCGCCGGCCCAGGGCAGGGGAACGGGCGAGTCTAGGACCTAGGCATCCTCAAGGCTTTACACTGAACCTGCTGTCAGAGCTGAGGACATAGGATGGAGCTGAGGACACAGAAATGAGGATGCAGGGTGCAGATGGGGACACAGAGATGAGAACGCAGGACAGACGTGGGGACACGGGACACAGATAAGGACGTGGGAACAGAGCTGGGCAAATACTGCAGGTCCTACTGCCCTCTTGATGCTTTACCCTGAGCAGTTTTGTCGTTTTAAAGAGACTGATGACTGAACATGAGGAAACAAAAATAGCATCTCTGACTTATTTTAAAGAATATACATCATATACTGTTTAATGTTGAGAAGTGACATAGTAAATAGTAAACTAATTATAGATAAATACATGTGTAGAAGGTTATTTAAGTAACTGGGAGAAACAACTGTAGGAAAGTCACCAGAACATTACTGGGGTGTCTGGTGGTGTCTCCTCCCTTTTTCTTCTACAATGAGCATGTAATGTTATTATCAGAGACAAACATTAAAAGCTATTTGTTTAAGAAAACAACTTGCCAGTAGAACAACAGAAGAGAGAGCCTGAGGTTTGCAGCCTTGATGGAGCACGGATATTCTCTAAGGCAAGGGTCCCCAACCCCTGGGTGGGGAACCAGTACTGGTCTGTGGCCCGTTAGAAACCGGGTTGCACAGCAGGAGGTGAGTGGTGGGGGAGTGAGCAAAGCTTCATCTGTATTTGCAGCCGCTCCCCAGCGCTGCCATCACCGCCTCAGCTCCACCTCAGATCATCAGGCATTAAATTCTCATAGGCACCCTGGTCCCCAGTGCCAAAAAGATTGGGGACTGCTGCTCTAAGGTGTCACTGTAGTGGTACCTTGAGGGCTTACCATGCAGCCCAGGGAATGACGCAGGGAGCCCAGTCAACCCCGACAGGAAGGATGAGCAAAGATGACAGGCAGATCTCAAAAGAAAAATGCAATTGGCCATAAAAATAAGGAAAATGTGTTGCTTCCTAGTGTTAAAAGAGATAAACGTGCAAAGATTGACTCTGACCAGATTGGCAAAGATTCTCTGAAAGCCGACAGTGTCAATGCTGTGAGGCCACACCGCTTCCCATAAACAGGTGGAATTGTGTGTCAACAGTGTTTCTAGGAATCTATGCAAAGAAAATAATCAGAGGTGGTCAAAGATGTATGGGTAAAGATGCCTGTTGCAGAATTATTTATAAAGTGAAAAACTGGAATCACTTGCTCAGCCGAAGGGGATGGTATGTATGGTGTGATCCATCCAAACAGTGGAGTATTGTGAGGCCTTAGAAACCATGTTTTGAAGGATAATGATACGAAGGAACCCTGCTGACATATGTCATATACACGTATATATGTGCATGTTTGGGTTTGCGTATTCCAGGCACAGAACGCTGACTCTTATCGCCACATGATTTTCATTTCTTCCCTTGTTTTTCTCTTCCATAAGCTTCCTCAATAAGCTTTGTTACTTGTATAAACGCAGATGAGTATAAATTGTTTTTTAAATTTTACACTGAAGTTTAAACTTTCTCATGTGAAGAAGGCCTCAGAAGAGCATTCAGGAATAGCGTTTGCTCCACTCATGTCTTGCCCAGGCGACTTGCTCATAGCTGCTCTGAGCTCTGATGCATTTCTCCAACAAGGAATACTTTCATTTTGACCAATAAATAAATCATAGTCAGGAGTTAGGCAAAGTGTTGAAATGCAGGGACCCCAGTGGCTCACATTGGTGAGTTCGCGATAGCACATGTAACTGCAGATTGTCAACAACCTTCACATCTGGCTATCCAAGAATGACCAACTCGCACACGAGCCTCACTTCTCACTGGAAAGCAGGGTCACTGTGAAGCCTGCGTCCGAGGACGGGGTCCCTCCAAGGACACTTGATGTTGTCGGCCATTTAATCTGCAGCTGTCCTGGGGTTTCCCCTGCTGCACATGGCTGAGCTCTGCCGTGGCGCAGTCTCCTTTGTCGGTGACACCTTTTGTGTGCAGAAGCTTTTGTTGTGGTATAGTCCTGTCTGGCAGCCGTCTCCTTTGTGTGTGCTTTGGTTTTTTTTTTAGGTTGCTTAAAAATCCTTTGTTCTCAGTGGTCATAAAGATATTCTCCTATATTTCCTCCTGAAACTTGCCAGGCTTTGCTTTCACGAATGTAAGTCTTTGATCCACCTGGAACTGGCTTTTGAGTGGAGTGACACAGCAGTGTCACGGCATGTGTTGCCCTGTGCAAACT